TTTTAGACTGATGGAGAAAGATATCATCTGAACACAATTAAAAAATTACAAGTGTTGCGTGAAGTTGTTGTTTTTTCCTTGTTAATTCCATAATTAAAGGTCTTCATGATTCCTCGTGTTTCACGATCCGCAAAATTGTAAAACTAACAACAATTAATTGAAAAATGCTATTTCAACAGGATCTTGTTTCCACATCAGCAGAGAGCGAGTTATTAAGCAAGTTCATTGAGACAAGACTTAATTCCATAGCAGGAGAATATTTGCATTTGTATTATTTTTACCCTTCAGACAGACTGCATATCAGTAACAACAAACAAAATGGTAAAATGAGCTAAAGTGAGACGCCTATATTTGGTCACAGCTATGCAAATTGACTGTGACTAAGCATCGGCATCACTGATTATCAGACATCAGACTGACTCCTATCATTATTTTATCATCAATTTCTAAATATTCGGCTGCAGCACGAGACACAACTCACAGATAATCAGACACACAGGCACGTAAGACGCAACTGAAATAATATTTTTATCAAGCCGTGGTCATCAGTACCACCCTGCAGCAGACTTATAAATTAACTGACAAAAAGAAAATATGGAAGCATGTGCATGATGAATTAGTTTGAGCTGCCAAAAAGTATTTCAGAACTATTTTTAGCTAGATAAATGTTGGGTAAGATATAAATGAGGATTAAAGCAATAAATGAGGACATAGATAAAAAAAGAGGACCAGAACTGTATAAATGGTAACAACTTGTTGTTACTATTTATAAATATTAGGTCAATAAAAGAATGAAGAAGACATGAGCAGTTCAAGTGACTGAGGTGACTTCCAGTGGCAGAAAAAGGATGCGTGACAGGATCCTAATTAAAGTGTTTTATGTGTTTGTTTACTCTTGATTTTGAGTATTTATTGGAGTATTGGAAAAATCATTTCAGATGGTGACAATAACGTACATGGCAGGTAGTTAGAAACACTTGTTAACCCCCTTTGCGCCATGACACAAGGTAGGGAAAACCCAAACAAATGTCATTGCAGCACTTTTAGAAATGAACAGTTGAGTCTTTGGTTCTGAAACAAGCTTTTCATCAGTGTAATGACAGTGAGGCTGGAGAAGTGGAAAACACTCTGATGATTTCTGTGACTTAGTTGAGTTTATAATAAGATTTTTAATAATAATTGGGTTGAGGTCTGGTGCCTGTGGAGGCCATTTGTGTACAATGAATATATTTCAAACTGATGTTCAGGAAGTCAGTTTGAAATTATTTGAGCTTTGTGACATGGTGTGTTGGCCATTAGAAGGTGTGTGCACTGTGGTCATTAATGGACTGAAACAATTCTCAGGTAGGCTCGTCAGTCAGTACTAAGAGGCCTAGGAGACATCAGACCACTACTGTTGTGGGTTGTTTGCCTTCCTCTAAACGTAAAGCAGTCTGGCCATTCTCCTCTGACCTCCAACATCAAGAAGGCATTTCAACCAGGAGAACTGCTGCTCAGTCGAGCTGATCACAGCCACAGAAACAGCAATTCGTAACAACAGTATTGCAGAAGTGGAAGCAGAGCAACTACGGACGAAAGTTTCGGCCTGTCTCAGCAATGCAAAGCCCCCAGCATCCAACATCACCATGGAGGAGAGCAAGGCACTCACATCATTTAGCGATGACAACAACATTATCATCCTTCCGGCAGACAAGGGTAGGTGCAGAGTATTGCTAAACCAGAAAGACTATCATGAGAAAATTTTGTTGCTACTCAGTGATGAAAATACTTATGAGCCCCTAAAACGAGACCCAGAAAGTTGCTACAGGAAGAGGGTGATAGACTGTCTGAAGCAGTTAGAACAAGACAAGGCTATTGACCGGACCTCATACCACAGGCTGTACCCTGTGTACACTGTTAAGTGCCAGGAGGATTGCCAGGATTTATACATTGGGGAAACCAAACAACCTCTGGCGAAGTGGATGGCACAACACAGAAGAGCTACCTTGTCAGGCCAGGACTCTGCAGTCTATTTACACCTACAGGCCAGTGGACACTCTTTCAAGGATGAGGATGTAACATCCTGGACTGGGAGGAACGTGTTTTTGGTTTATTACAGGATGATAGCGAGGCACGTTACATCTGTGTAACACAGCGCAGCGTGACTTTTCTTGACTTGATGAATTTAGACAGGTGAAAAGCGTGTGTGAGGTTTGGTTGTGCGCACTCACACACACTATGTGCACGTTCATACACACATAAACCACAAGCTACATATGCATGTTACCTCATCTTAAGTTATGGAACGCACACACCACAGGGTATCTGAGTTTATCTGTATAAATAGCTGTGTAATTAAAGTGTAACTGTTAGAGTCATGGGGTGGAGAAATGAACATTTAAACTACTATTAATTTCTCATCAGTGTCTGGGAGACAGAGAGCGAACAGAGAGACCAGAGGAACATGAGAGATCGGGAAAAGAGAAGGTAGTTTTATTACACTTTAAATTAAAAAAAAGCTCCTGAGCACAGTCAAAAATGCTGAACTTTGCACCTCCAGGGCCTTAATTAGTGTGTGAACAGCAGCTTGACCCACATCAACACAGGAACCTACAACCTTCACCTCAAGAAGCTGCCAAATTTCGTTTCTGTAAGCTTGACTCCCTACAGAGAAGAAAGCAGCTTCCTCCATGTGCAATATTAGCCATTTTCTGCCTATTTGATCACCTGAGCAGCCTCAATAACTTACATTTGGTTCAATCTCCACAATATTTGTGTGTCTACTCTGGATATTCTCTAGATTCTCTTTGTATTTTTCTTTGTAGACGACATAAACCAAAGAAGTCAGAATAATTGTGACCATAGCAACACGAGTAAGTATTCTAAAGACAATCTCATGTGTCTGATTGGGGGGAATGAGACTGAAAATAATGTTCCTGTTAATGTGTTTTATAGCAGGTCAGTTCATGCATTACATGCCACAAATTACATATTTCAGGTTCAGTGAATATTACAGATTAATTAATTATTATTATTATTAATTATACTGAAACCTATAGAAAATAACCTAAAATACTGAAACCATTCACATGTTTTATGTATAAACTATTTTTTATGTCAGCTTATAGCATCCAATTGACCAGCAAATATCCCAACCTCAAATGTGAATGACAAACATTTATTAATAACGGACCAACAAGCTAGGCAAGAGGCAGTGGTGGCCTTTGAGAGAGGATGACAAGATCAAATGGGTGTGTGGTGCAAGTAGATATTTATTTTAAATGTGTGGCTGGTTGGGGGAGTGTTTGAGGCACTGCCCTGCTCCTCAAATTCAGATAGATTATCTCCAATCCCTTTAGCTTTTACACAACTAATAAGAAAAATATACAATGAAAACACAGCATTTCAACTTTGTTTTTTTAATCTTCTCACAGCCTTTAAATAAAAGATGGAAGTTGTCATTGTGATGATGGTTTTGAAACCCTCAGCTGAGTGTATTCGGGACACTCTGCACTCTTATATAAATTATCAGTAACCAGGTAGGCAGGCAATCTTTTGCAATTTTATGGCAACTATAATGCACAAAATAATGTATTCAATAAGACTGAAATCATAATGAATGAGACTATGGGTTTTTACTGAGTTCATAAAGCAAGAAGCTGTTTTCCCTAAGGCTTCTGTACAATCAGACCTCTTTTTGAAATGAAAGGAGTCGCCCCCTGCTGGACATTAGAAATACTCCAGGTTTATGGTGCCTCCGCTCTGACTTCACCACTCAGATTCCTTATGCCTGCATCCATCGTTTGCCAACAGTGCATACTTCATCACCTCTTTTATCCACCTGTTTGATGAAGCATATTACTTCACTCTGGCAGCTAAACTATAGTGAAACTTCCCTACTGAGAAATCAGGTCTGGTCACTAAAGATCATTCGGACTACCTTGTGCAAAGCATTTGTTAATAATAAACACTTTTTGGAGGTTTGTCCAACATGATTTTATTTCTGTGTGAATACTATAGACTGTATATAAAAGATGGATTTGCATGGGGTTAGGTTGATTGGTGATTCTAAACTGACCATAAGTGTTATGGTTGCCTGTCTCTATTAGCCCTTTCCCATTAGTGACTACTTGGATTGGGTCAGTGTGACTCAGCTCAGCTCTACTGGAATTCCATTACAATTGAGTCCAACCTAATGTGCTGGGGTCGTTATAGAAACGCGGGCAAATGTCTTGTGATGTAATTTGGATGCATCATGAACACCACAAGAAAGTAAGATGAGGCAATGGTATACCTGCTGCTCGGTGCTTTGCTATTTGTCAGACACAGGGACCACGGTGTTGGTTTTTTGTGTAGCTATTACCTTCTTTGCCGGGTAAATGTGGTTTTGATTTTCATGAAGGAAACGCTCTCATGAGCAATGCCACTGATCAGCCAATCGTGGCATGCAGTCTGTTGACATCACATTTATGATTGCGTCAGATTGCTTGGAACACTTGCTGAGTGGTTACTAAAAAGGTACCTGTTACCAGGTACTATTACCTAATGCAGGGGTAGGGAACTCCAGGCCTCAAGGGCAGGTGTCCTGCAGGTTTTTAGATGTGTCCTTGATCCTCGATCCAGTACAGCTGATTTACATGGTTAAATTTCCTACTCAGTGTGTCTCTAAGTTCTCCAGAGGCCTGGCAATGAACTAATCATTTGATTCAGGTGTGTTGACCCAGGGTGATATCTAAAGCCTGCTAGACACCGGCCCTTGAGGCCTGGAGTTGGAGACAAAAACAGTTAACTGAATTTAGTTACTCAAATTAGCAGAAGTGAGGCCTCACCTACCATTATGAAGGGGAAAAAACTGTCTATAAAGAAATGTATCTTATCTTGTACCAGGTTGTAGGGAGCAAAGAAGTAATTCTGCTTTTCTTTTCTTTTTCTTACTTCATGTGGAATCACCACATGGCCATCACCGGGCAGCGTCTGCCTTTTGTGCATAAGCTTCAGGCATGTTGCTCCGGTATCGATCAGCAGTCAGAATCATGACAAAAAAAACCGTGCAGCAGATTCGCTGCACATTTATTGGAACTCCTCAAATCCTCTAGAAACCTCCCTGGGCAGTAAGCACCTCCCTGTGTCCTGCACATCCACCCCTGTCCTTACTCCACCCCACTCCAACCCCTCCTTTCTCTCGGTGTTATTCCGCCGGTCCAGCGGTGCGCTCAAAAAGCCAGAGCGCAGACAGAGCGCAGTGGATGCTCCAGAGCAGAAACAGCAGCGAGAATAACAAACGACAAAGACACACCGGAGGAAACCCTTTGGAGTTGCGCGCGAAGACAGTAAGAGAAAGGTGCAGACTCAACACTATCGTCCCATCAGCGGTAAAAGTAGAACAGCAGAGGGAAAACGGAGCGCCAGTTCGTCCCCCCTCTTCAGCACCGCAGGGAGGAGACACGCAGAAGAGGAAAGATTCCCCCGAACGCAGTGAGAGCCTCGGACGAGGAGAAGAGGAGAGCGGAGGGCATCGGATAGGCAACAAGGAGTAAGTGAATTCACAGTTTGTATGGGAGAAAAGTTATCCTGAAACTTCTTCATAACCTCATGAAGTTTGTAAAAAAAATGTTACAGCAGCATCACCCACACCTCAGATTCACCCCAAATTTCACAAAAACTAACTCGGAGTCCCAAAACTTACGCAAAACTCAGCAGACTGTTCTTAATTATCCACCTACAGTGAGAGGAGAGGCTGAAGTGTGTGTTTATGAGTTCCGATGTGTGACTAAGTCTTGACTCCTTCCTGCACAGCTGCATGCACGTGTTTGCTTTGTTTCACTAAATATTTATTCAGCTAAACTGTCTCAGCTTGCCAGAAAAAAGGCTTTTTGAATTCCTTTTTTATTTCGAAAACTAATCCCGTCAAAGAGAATCCATGATTCATGTGTTCACTGCTAACATTATATTAACAAACCCTACACTGATGATCACAGAGAGGGGGATGGTTTAACTTTTGCGAAAGACACTATCGGAAGGAAGAGGAGTGCTTCTAAGATAAACGGTAGGTCAGCAGTGCACGTGATCAGGATGGACGCTTCTGACCTTTTTATTTTTAATATATTTTATTTTTCTCCTGATACAGTTTTAGTTTATAAATCTATATATAAAGAAAAAAATTTAAAAGAATTTGAAAATGTTGCAGTTTTGTCTGATTTTATCTATTTTTGTTGTATTTGTGTGAACTACAATTATTTGAGGAACTATTAATGAACTTTTCTTAACATTTCCAGTAGAAAATGTGCCTAAACCAGTCTTGCCTTCTCTTCTCTTCAGCTCCCTGCTCTTTAACCCAGAACATACTTTCCTTGCCAATTATTAGGACTGTTAAGTGTAGTAAAGAACCAAGACAATGAACATTTTAAGTGGATATCACATTTTGTAATGTAGTTTTAGGTCCTGTGTATTAACTGTTATGTTAGATAGGAATAGAGAAAATATATATTATTCATCTGCTTGTTGTCTTATTTTATAAGATTTGTTTTGTAACTACATATAAGATGAATGTTAAATGTGAGGCGTATTCCATTCTTTGTGGGAAATAATTACATTTACAAATGCCATTGTCCTGGTCACAAAAGAAAAAGGAAAGGAAGCTGCTTTCGGTTGCTCCTTTATTCACAGTGGGTCACTACAGTGTTTGATTTGGCAGAGCTTTTACCCCAGATGCCCTTCCTGACTCATCCCCAGTGGGATTTGTGTCTCCTCCCGGGAGACAAGAAAGCAAAGTTTGGAAAGAAAAAGAATGTATTATCTTTGGAATTACAGCATAATCAATCAGGACTTATTACCCCTTATTTTAGCCATCCATTCATCCATTTTCTTAACTGTTTTCATGGTTGCTTGACCCAGCTGTCACAAGGCAAGAGGCAGAGTACACTCTGGAGAGGTCACATCAGAGTTGTCTTACTTCTTTATGGCATTGATTCAACAAGCTGCTGGAAACACTCTTCGTGTTGGTCCATATTGACATGATAGTGTCTCGAAGGTGCTCTAGTGGATTGAGATCTGGTGACTGTGGAGGGCTTTTGAGTACAGTGTCATGTTCAAGAAACCAGTTTGACATGATTTGAACTTTGTAACGTGGTGTGCTATCTTGCTCGAAGCAGCTATTAAAAGATGGCTGTGATCATGAAGGAATATTTTTAGGACATAGTTAAGAACAATACTCGGGTATGCAGTGCCATTTAATCTCTAGGGTTTACACATAATGTTTGTACCAACTTGTTTAAACAGTTGGTACTAAGGGGCCCAAAGTGTGCCAGGAAAATTTCTCCACACACCATCCCCCCACCACCAGCTTGAATTCATTATACACTGCATGATGGATCCATGTTTTCATCCAAAGGTTGCAGCAGAAATCATTTTCCCAATCATATTAGAACTGTAGCCTCAGTTTTCTGTTCTTAGCTGACAGGAGTGATACCTGGTGTGGTATTCTGCTGCTATAGCCCTTTGGCTTCAAGGTTTGACATGCTGTACATGTTCTTCTGCATACCTTGGTTACTGTTACATTCTCCTCTGACCTCTGGCATCATATAGGTATTTTTGTCCTGAGAACTGACAATCACTTTTTTCTTTTTTAAACTATTCTCTATAAACCCAAGAGATTGGGAAAATCCCAGTATATCAGCAGCTGAATCAGTCAGACCAGCTCAACAGCTCAGATTTTAAACTTGGCATCCAGTTCAAGACAGTGTTTTTTGGGTTTGGGTCTAAATAATGCCAAAGAGAGAGGATATCCCTAATATGGTCCTCCCCAGCACACTGCTCTGGCCATGAGCACAACAGCTGTGAATCATGAAAAACTCTACTTCGATCGTGGCTCAAGAGTTGGGAGTTCGCCTTGTAATCGGAAGGTTGCCGGTTTGAGCCCCGGCTTGGACAGTCTTGGTCGTTGTGTCCTTGGGCAAGACACTTCACCTACCGCCTACTGGTGTTGGCCAGAAGGGCCGATGGCGCGATATGGCAGCCTTGCTTCTGTCAGTCTTCTGTCAGTCTGGCAGCTGTGGCTACAACTGTAGTTTGCCTCCACCAGTGTGTGAATGGGTGGATGACTGGGTGTGTAAAGCGCTTTGGGGTCCCTAGAGGGGACTAGTAAAAGCGCTATACAAATACAGGCCATTTACTTTAGGAGAGTCCAGGTATAAAAATGTAGGGTGGGAAACCATTAGAATAGGTCCCCTTTATAGGAAATTAAAGAAACATGCAAAGTGCATACAAACTACAGCAGAATAAAACAGCTGATACAACAATGGTTTTATGCTAATTCTTTCAGGATTTGCAGAGTGAATTGATTTTACGTACATTTCATAATTTAAAACACTTCTTCTACAAAGGCCTCAGCACCTTTTTTTCCTCTTGGGGTATCTTTAGCAACATTCGCCCTTGCTTTTCTATTGCTCTTTTAGAAAGTCATAGCCTTCATACTCTCACCATATTTGTCTATATTTAAGATGCACATCACTCATCATATGTTAGATTTTATAAAAGCACAGATACGTGTTACACACGCCGGTGTAGCTAAACTCAACTTAAGGGCCCGACTCAGCCCTTTTCCAGTGTTAGCATGTAGCAACCACTTCAAAGTTTTGCTGGTGATTTATTCATAAGGCTTTCTAAAATTAACAAGCTAAATCTGTTGACTGGAGCATGTATGAGCAGAGACAGGCAGGGAGAAAAGTGCATGGGAGGGAAAATAATTGAATACCATTTTCTCATTTCCCCTGGTAGTGGCAGCTCCAGACTTATTGGACCCTAAATCCGCCACTCACAACACTAAGCCCCGCCTCTCCTTCTCCACAAAGCCAATGACACTGACGCCTCCGGAGGAGAGCGAGGTGAGGACAAATGAGATGTTTTCACAGGATTTTTGTTACACCCTGTGGTGTCATTGTAGTTTATTTTGGGACACCTCTTGCATGCAGGTATGTATATGGTTTGATTAACAAGCTGAAGTGTTGCAGGTGGTTGCCACAGTGATGAAGTGGAAGACGGTGACAGCCATCTTTCTTTTGGTGGTTCTGTACCTGGTGATGGGAGCAGCAGTCTTCAGATCCCTGGAGCAGCCCCATGAGAGGTAAGCAGGTTAAAGAGAGGTAGGCCAGTCATCCATCCATCTATTTAGCTGTCCCACCCCTCCCATAATTGCTCTCTGTGGCAATGAACCCAAAGGTTAAGACCCTACAAATAAGTGCGGTATGCTTGATCTTCTATGAATATTTATTTAAAGTAAAAATATATTAAATGTTATGTTTATTAAAGTCATAAATGTTTAGATGTAAACTTTTAGCTTTATGTATTTTCAGCTCACCACTGGGTACCCTGTAGTGCACTTCCTGAAACAGCCCTAGTTTAATGCAGTCTTCAACACACATGACTAAAGAATATATACAAGTCTGTGCTAGTACTTTCTGCTCTTGATTGGGAGCATGAAACTGGCTGAGTCATTAAAACATGTACAATTCTACTACACTTAATTTTTGGGCTTCTGTGTTAGTTTCATATCATGTGTTTGGATTTCTGTGTTTTCACTTCCTGTTATATTTTGAAATATCTGTTTGTCATACACTTCCTGCTTCCAGCTTTTGCTCATTTTCCAGCTCTTTATCTCTGTTCAGTCACTTACCTTGGTATCCGTAGCCCAACTTCTTTACTTCCCATTTTCCAGACTGTGCTGTCTTCATAAAAACAACCCTTGTAGACACGCCCTGCTGCTCCTCGTGTTTTGTTGTACTCTTTGTGCCTTTGTGTTCTTACTACTTCTGACCGGATGTGAGTGATCTTTTGCCTATTTTGTTGGATCTTGCTTCTGATCTTCTATCTGCCAGATTTGTTTGCCAGAGTGACTGACCTTCCATGTATGGCCTCAGCCTGGTAATAAAGATTTGATTTTTCCCAGTATCCTGTGCTGTATATTTGGCTGTGAACCCTTCGTTTCCCACAGTTAACAAAGACACGACTGAGATTATTTATTTCACCAAAGTAGGAAAGCCCCCAAACGATTCCCATGAGTAATACAGAAATACTGAGCATATTAGTCCTACTCTAAAATATTTAGGCTGTCATATATATAATTCCATTAGTCTTTGATGTTTATAAACCAAATCAAACTTTGTTCAGTTGACATAATAGTACTTTTCCTCTTTCTAATAGTGAACAGCGTTTGGCCATCCTGTCCCAGAAGCTGCAGTTCCTTTCCAGACACTCCTGTGTCAACCAGAGCCAGCTGGAGGAGCTGGTTAAGGTAAGACTAACCTGACATTAATATTAATGTTAAAACTCATGCATTAAGTAGAGCAGCGTATGTACTGTACCCTACTATGATTCAGCACAGCAGCACTGGTTTCAGCACCATGGACAGCTCCTTTAGCTTTAAAAGGAAGAGCGTCTGAGACCGAGAGTTTCTGCTCTGTTTCAGACTCTTGCTGTTTGCTTGGTCTTCCAGCTACGGCCCAACAAAATCAGAAATTCTTAAATTCACACATTCTTTATCACGTGTAGATATTTGCGTCGTTTACAATGATATTTCATATATTTTCCTTCTTTAATTTGTTACACAGGTAAGCACAAAAACACATTCCTGCACATCTGCAAAGAAAAGTGTCTTATAGTAGGTTTTTAATGATTTACTGATGTCTGAGAGGAGGATGCTGATGAAACTCTTCAGCATTAGGGACAATCCAACAATGCATGGGACCCTGATTGGTCATTGCAGCACTCACAGTAAGAGGCTGCTCTGACGTGCAGGTTTGAGCGCTACAGGAGATCTTTTCTGCCTGTGGCTTTTAGACTGAATGACTTCTCATTCTGCAGGGATGATGTTTAAATACATTTTAAAGCTGTGCCTACACACAACAACACTTTATTATGTATAATACTCGAATGCCATCCCAGCTTACCAGACAGGAGATCTGCAATATCACCTCTAATTTATTCACCCTGTTATCGCGTACTCCATCTGCTGATGTAAACTGTAAACAATCATATTTATGTTTATATTCATACTCTTATTTTCCTGTATCTTGTATTTTAATAGTCGTACTTTATTTTGTTGCTGTCTGTGACTCTGGCTGTCTTTTTCTTTCTCTCTACCTTTTAGCAAGTTGTGTCCGCCATCCGTTCAGGAGTAAACCCTGCAGGAACAATGACCAACAACAGCAGCCTGTGGGACCTGAGCTCTGCCTTCTTCTTTGCTGGGACTGTCATCACAACCATTGGTAGGAAACACACACATACACTCACACAAAGAGCATCTATGTTCAGACCGAAAGAACCACATTGTATATTTTCCGTTTTTAATTAATTTATGTTTACTTTTGAGTTGACAGTCCTCTAAATATAGCTCTTACATTTAGTTACATAACAGTGACCTTTCTTTAGTTATTGATTATACATCTCCTTTGTGGATATAATCAAACTAGCACACTTACTTTCCCCATACATTTACTTTGTGCATGCATGTGTATAGATTTCTTAAACTCTCCTCACTTTCAACACAGTGGCCATTTCTACTTGCATGACACTGTACTTCCACCTTAGTTGAGTTATATTAACTCTTTTTTGTAATTAGATAGAATATATTCAACAATGGAAAAAATGGAAACATGCAGTGTCATAGAAGTGTAATTTAAAAACGCAGCTAATATATTTCACTATCTATCCAGCAGTGTTTCGAGTGTAGTGGTTGGATATCTTCCAAACTGATTCACAAATGCAGTCTTCATGCAGCGAATACCGGGATTCAAATCATCAAATCACGGGTGATGTGTCCTCTTCGCAGGTTTTGGGAACATCTCTCCCCACACCGAAGGCGGGAGAATATTCTGCATTGTCTATGCTTTGTTAGGGATACCGCTGTTTGGCTTCCTTTTGGCCGGTGTAGGAGACCAGCTCGGCACCATATTTGGCAAGGGCATTGACAAAGTGGAGAAGATGTTCGTGGTGAGTGTGGAGCATCAAACACGATCACATTAAACTTTCAAAGCCTGAACCAGAAAATAATTCCCAGAAAATGTAAATATTTTGAAGAGCTTTCACTGAACCTTTTCACAAAACAATAATTCAGTATTAATTTGCATATATGAGTTTGGTTTTGTATCATATTCGCAACATCTGGCTCTTCTTTTTTGCAATTTATTGCTTAAAAATGACCTGAAAAAACAGAAAAGTTTTGAACTGTTTCTTTCAAAGACTTCACAGAGTCAGACAAACAGAGCTGGATTGGTAAACTGTTCCAGAGCCTTGGTGCCACAGACTGAAAGGCTCTATCCACCACAGTCCTCGCTTTTGTATGAGGGGACAGCTAATAGATTTTAAGCTTGTGAACAAAGACAGTGAACAGCAGTTTGTTTAGGAAGAAGTTGAGATATGCAGTCTGGAGCTTGTCCATTTAGTGCAAGGAATTAGAAAGACTTCAATCCTCTTCAGAGCTGATGTTGCAAGCATCATAACGTTTGCCACGGCATCTCCAGGCCTTTTTTTATGCCTGTCACATATGCTCAGTGTGACAGGTGAACCTGCTGTCATTTCTGAAGAGTCATTTCTCATTTCTAGCAGTGCTTTTCCTGTTCCTGCTCACGCAGTGGAGTAGATAACGGTCCTGCTGCTGGGTTGATGCCATGTCTCCATGTGTTATTTCATTAACGGCCCGTCTTCTGGTATTTTCCTGGTATTTTTGTCTACTCTGTGCTGAGGGACACAGCAAACCTTCTCGCAATGGCTGGACTCTCTGTATAAGATGAATGGGCAGCAGGTTCAGTCTCATCCTACAAGCATTGAAAAAGACACTAACAACACAAGAATAACACTAGAGAAAACTGAATCAGGAATAAAGATAGAGCAAGCACCTGCAAAATCACTCCCTTTTGGGGGGTTTTGTTCTTGTTGTCTCTTAGGAGCATCTTTGTTGCTTCATTTGCACCGAAGGAGATAAATTCACAATGGTTTGTGCCATCCCTCAAGTTTAACTAACTTGTGTTTTTAAGTGTTAAAACACTTACTAAGAAGTTAGGGACAGGGGAATGCAGAAGAAGGCACACACATGAACACAAACAAATCATTTCCTTTATTTTGGAGTCGGTGCTCATTAAAACACTTGATGCTCATCCAAATAAGAAAAAGATCTCTTTGTATTTGTCGTTGCAGGGCACTCATTTTCAAGCTGATTTTCATTTATCGTGTTGTCACATTCTTCTCACATGTTGCAAAAAAAAAGCCTGCAGATCTATTAAGAGAGACAAAGGTGACTCAGCTCGCAGCCACATCTTCAAAGTTCAAGTAGCTGGTGTGAATAATTTGTTTTGTAGTCTTGAAGGAGCAGAAATCTGAAAACAGAAACATACTTTGGAATGATTTCCTCCTCCCGCTGCTCTCAGGGCACCCGAGGGACTGAGTAATGAATATTGTGATTAAGGAAAGAAGACAAAAGTTCATTGTGTAAGTGCCTGTGTGACTATGAAAGCCTGATTGCTCAGTGCAGACTGTGTGAGACTGCAGCATTATCCTCAGTGAATGTCTTTTCTCTTCAGCTGCACCCACGGGACCAATTTATGGAATAATGCCATTACTGCTAACAGCATCAGGCTAATTTGGCATTTCACTTCAGAGTATTCTGTTTAACAGTCTGCTTTATTATTATTATCAGTCAGTCCTCCACTTTGGTCCCACCTTAAACATCTCAACTCTGCAAACATTAATGCTTACCAGATAATAATCCTTATAATAATCCTTAATGACTTTAGCTGTTTAACCTGAGAGAGAAACACGTTGTCTTTTATTTTATATGAAATATTGTCATTCCACAGGTTTCCACAGAATTAACATTTTCGACTGAGTAATACTACAGCTTAATTCTGACTAAATGCAGTTTCACAGGTAGACTGGAGTAATTAGAAGTAACTGGAGCCAGCCTTGTGTACATAGATTAACACAACCTCCACATCAACATCTACTGAGTTCTTTCATTTTTCATCTTTTCCTTTGGTGACACTTTTGTACTTTTATTTGAGTGTGATGTCAAGTGCAGGAATCTAATCCAGTATTATACCTTTGAGATCTGAATACTTAATGTCTGGATTCTCCCTGCCTGCAGACACACAAAGTTTATGTTGAGTATTTGAATGATGTCCTTTTCTTTCCCGTGTAGCATGGGGAGATCAGTCAGACAAAGATCTGGGTCATATCCACGCTGCTGTTCGTGCTGTTTGGCTGCCTGCTGTTTGTGGCCCTCCCGGCAGCCATCTTTAAACACATTGAGGGCTGGTCTGCGCTGGAGTCCCTGTACTTTGTCGTCATCACCTTGACTACTATTGGTTTTGGGGACTTTGTGGCAGGTAAAAAGCACAACCAGTGATTTAATGCTAAGACACAGTTTGGACCTGGTTCTCTGAGTCAAGTTGATCCGTCTCGTTAATGTGTGTGTGTGTGTGTGTGTGTGTGTGTGTGTGTGTGTGTGTGTGTGTGTGTAGGTGGGTCAGATATTGAGTACATGGACTACTATAAACCAGTCGTGTGGTTCTGGATTCTGGTTGGGCTGGCCTACTTTGCTGCTATCCTCAGTATGATTGGAGACTGGCTGAAAGTCATCTCCAAGAGAACAAAAGAGGAGGTACGATACCCTCGGTTTCTATTTTCTGCTTCATCTAACTTTCTGCAGCTTGTTTTTGTTCCTTTTATCAGCTTTATGTGTACCTGTCACCATGTGCCTCTTTCTGTACAATGACACTCATTATTCGAGCTACATTATGCCATATCGCCACTTCAACTTTTGCCCTCTGTTTAACGTTATTTCAGTGATACGACTGTTTTCTAATCCGATCGACTCACTGCCATCAAAACACAAGCACCGGATCTTATTGTGATCATCCCCAGAGGGAAATAGAGATCATTTAGACAATGTGTGATGATGAAGCTTAATATCAAATGACTCTAATACTAAATATAACAGAGATTATCAAAATAAATCCAACCTTGTTTCCAAAAAGGAACTTCTGGACATTTCCAGCCTTTTATTAAAAAACTGTCAGGGTCTCCTTCTGAGTGATACAGCTGTGTTCTTTGTGCTACCTGAATTTTGCTGGTGAGCATGAATAAAGAATTTTTCATACATTTTTACCAGTTATTATCAAAAACATCCTCTGGAGTGTGAAAGTCACATTTTTGTCAAGAGCACAATTACATAATCACATCTTGCAGTCCTGCTGTGATATGCCATCTCACTGGTCTGTAGATGCAGGCGTGTTATTATCATAAGTCACCGCAGACGCAGTTAGACGCACAGACATTATCACTATCTTCAAGAGATTTCATTTTTGGCCAGATGGGGTAGCAGAATGGCTCTGTGGATCTTATTATCCATAAATTGTATGCAGTGCACGCGCACACACACACACACACACACACACACACACACACA